GCTCTTTGTCCCTTTCCGTCCGGCCGATCCGTATTTTATAAGCGCCATAGATGGGAATTTCGCAGCTATGCGAAATCAGCCCCGAGCGCATCGAGTCGCGCGCAACGCCAATTAGTTGCATTCACGCCTCGCTCTCCGCGCGACGCAGGTGCGGCAGGGGTGTGATTTCGCGATCTCGGTAATCACGATTCCGTCCGCGCGCCGTAATGCCGATCGACGATAGGAGAAAGCGAGAGAAGAGGAGAGAGAAAAAGAAAAAGAAGAGTGCGCGCCGAGTCTGCACCTATTTACCGATGCACCACGAAACCTGTATAATAATATTATAATTCATACGCACAGAGAGAGAGAGAGAGAGAGAGAGCGATCTTTCTCTCGCTTTTGATCGACCACGCACGCCGACCGAGAGTGCGTGAATGGCGATGCGTGTTCAACGGAAACATACGTCTCACGATGGTGCGTCTCCGCGCGGCGTGGTATTAATTTTATTTATGGCGGATGTTGCAACAAAGTTATAATTCCGATAAGATGAACGCGAGTTATACGACGCGAGAAAGAGAGCTGCGCTTCGTAATCCGCGGATCGCCCGGGGCCGGTTGGAATTACGACGACGCAATGCGTCGAGATTTTGCTCGCGCGCTCTCAGGAAAAGCGGACGTGCTCCGTGCCGATTTTACTCGACTCTTAATGATTTCGACGAAAACGCATCACCGTGTCTCACGAAACTGCTCTGGTGATTCCGAAATAGCGACGCTAAGTGTTCTTTAGGAAGGATTGTCCTTCTTTTCAGCCAAAATTCTCATATTCCGCCAAGGACGCTATTTGTTCTTCCCCACATCGAGGGACGATTTCTTTTTTAATGTATTGAAGAAAGTTACGAAAGTGTGTTAACGTTGCACAAATTTAAAAAAATGGTACGAGTACGGCGAGTCGGCGGCATTTAATTCTGAAAAGTGTTGATTTCAAGCCTATAAATATTTTCAAAATTATTTCGTACGCTTTTTCAGTTCTGGGGACCCCAGCAAGTTCCGAGAGAATATTCAGTATAATGAATTCGAAGCGGAGTGATGAGCGAAACAGATGCTTAGTGTTATTTATGAAGAGCGGACTGATGACTTACTTAAATTTTGCAGACAATTGTGTAGAATTTGTAGAAAAATATAAGAAACAATGTTGAGTTTCTGAAGGCTACTCATGGTAATGCCAAATATGTACAATAATTTGTTAAAAAAATATTAATATCGTGCATGTAAGAGATATGTATGAAACATATAATATATGCAATAGTACAAAGGTACATGTTGACCACCATGATGTACCCTATCCGACGACCTTATTTTTCCTCGTCTTTTCCCCGTTCCTTCCCCGCCAACTTACAAATCTGGCAGCCCTACGTGCGTCTCGCGATCATCGATTTTTGCCGGCCGCTCCGCGCACCCTCGTTCGCGAATTGGTCGCATAAATTCGCACAGCGTGACATAATAGATAATAACTTTCGAATTCCACGGACACATTAAACCTCTTTAGAGCTTAAATCGATTTTCGGACAGCCGATAATTACGCTATCAACCTAATCAAATGCGCGCGTAAATATTCTGCAGGCTTGCAGCAGGACGCGCTCGCTCGCTCGCTGCACAGCAAATTGGATGCACATATTTTACGAGGAGCGCGAGTGATTTAATATCGGTGGAATATACCGGTAGTTAGGCACGAAATTGCGACAGGCCATATCCCTCCCCTCTTTACTCTTCGTCAACGATCGACGGCGTGCAAAAACACGAGAAAAGTGCTCGTTACATTCCGGCCGTAACGCGACACGCGAAGCCGTATTTAAGCTGGTGTCCGGCACGACGCATCTGCGCGACGACGTTCGTGCCTTCTGTGTGCCGTTTCCCGATAAACTAGGAGCTACACTCGAGGTGGAGGTAAGTGGTATCCGACATGATGAGTTTTTCATTCGATAAGATCATTGAAAAACGAGACTTCCGAGATAAATTGAATTTCTTCATCATTAAAAATAATACGATAATCGTTACTCTTCATCCTTCCCAGAGCATGCGGAAGATACTGATTAACACAGCCTAAATAGGTGTGACAAACTCCGAGGAAACATCGACTTCTACACCTGCCGGTTACTTTACGTGTCTACAATCGAGCGACATGATTTTATCGCTCATCAAAATAATTATACTTTTTACGAAAAATTGTTATACGTGCATACCGCAATGAGATTCGATGAATGAGTAAAGTTACATCGGTATTATTTCAAAAGTGATATATTACGCCTGAATTATTTTCGACTAGACAGACCCACGAGGTTCAATTAGTGTACTTTTCTAATTCAATCTACAGCCCTGGTTTACTTTCAGCTTCCGCATATATACGGCCGTAATCGCGCACGTGCCGCTATTTTCCGAATTTCCCGAGACGTGTAGATACACGGCCGTGCGTGACTCGCGTGCACTCGGGCACACGCGACCGCCGGGAGTGGCTCTCTCGCGGGCGCGCCCTGTGCATCGCACGTTGCACCCCGCCTGTCTCCCTCTGTCTGTGCACTCGGAGAACGAGAGCGAGATCGGCAAATCTAAGATCGTGCAACTGGTGTCCAGTGGCGTGTCCGCGGCGTTCGCCGACGCGGCCGCGCGAGCGAGACAGCGCAAAGAAGAACGAAGAGTGAAAGATGAAGAGGAGGAAGAGGAGGAGGAGAAGGAAGAAGAAGAAGAAGGGGAGAGGTGGAATGCGCGGTTCTCGAAGGAGGAGCTGTCGGCGGTGAAAAATCACGCACCCCGCCACCACTCTGCTAAGGCCAGCGCAGCAGCAGCATCTGCTCTACATACCCTGGCTCTCAACCTATCCACCGACCCGTAAAAATCGCTCAATCGATGACCTCGAAGTGCGTCCATGGTGCATGCGATAATCCTCGGGGTGAGGTGGGCGCTACGCAAGCTCCTCTCGAAATAATTGTGGTAATTATGGCTTTCGCCGGACTAGGAGCGCGCGCGCGCAGAGAGCATGCGGCAGGTACTTTGACGATAAATTTCATCTCTCTCTTTCTGCTTTTCCTCAGTCGCGCGTATCCCGGCCGAAAGATAAAGCCGTTGGAAATTTCGGAGCGAACCGCGGTAGCGTACGCGCGTACACTTGAGCGAGAAATCGATCGTATAACTTACGTGTAATGTCGCGATACAATTTGCCGATATTATCCTGATGAGTGATTTAATTGTATAGAATTAATGCCACGCGCGCACACACGCGTGTTCGGACGCTCGATGCTAAAATCAAGCTGCTCTATATGTATAAGTGAGAATTTCTTATCGTTTCTACTAAAATCCGTCACCTCGAGTGTCTCGAAGTAATCATCAAGCGTGGAAAGTGGTGAGCTGAATGAGAAAAAGTCCGACTCGAGGCTCATCGTCATCTCTAACTCGTGTCACGTGTCGCTCAATGAAGAAAATCTCGTTGATTCCCTTCGTATTCCGGCGACGAGCAGAATCGCCGCTATTTTCGGTAAGTTCCATCGGGAAGCGCCGGTCGACGAAGCGCTTTTACGAGAAGGCACGAGAGAGAGCTCATCAATGAGAACCTCGAAGAATCGGAGTAGCAGAGCAAGATATACGTGTGCTGGCTGGGCTACCGGTCGGTCGGGTCGGGTCGCTGTTCTCCTGTGTTTCATCTCTCTCTTTTGCTCTGTTTTGCTGTTCCTCTACCCGCTGCCTTCCTCTTTTCACCTCCCGGCTTATCGCGCTCGCTCGCCCTTTCTCCCCGTTCATGCCTCTCTCTTTCTCCCGCTCTCTGCCGCTCACTCCCGAGAGTTGTTGTTCGACTGTTTTATTACTTTTATAAATACCGCCGCCACGATGCTGCTGCCGCTGCCGCTACTACTCGCCCAGTCGCGGCGGGCGTTTCCTTTGTTGGTCCACCGAGGGGCCCCCATTGTTGCTCGCGGAAAGATGCGAATTTTAATTTGATATTGTCTAATATTATTTATGTATGCACGCGGCTAGAGAAACGGTCCGCTCTTTTCGAGGGCGCCTGTCGCACGCGGCCGTCGTCGCGTCGTGCCGCGCGTCTGTCGCTTTCTTCCATTCAATAGGAGAGAAACCGTAGCACGTCCGCTCTCCGACGACTTAACTCCGCATCGAAAGTCTCCCGTCTCTTCGCGCGAGCTCGCCTGTTTCAGTTGTGATCTCGCGAGTCCCCTCGCGTCATGGCTTGCTCTCGAACGATCAATTCAAGCGCAAATGAGTCGAATGAAATTATTACGGCGACGTTCCTTCTATCTGCTTGATAATTCTTTAAAACGTAGCGTTACTTAACGCGCGTTCTATCAACTACAGGATAGTTCGCCGATTCTCCTCCGTGACACTCTGAGAAAAAATTTTTCTCGATAATCTTCAGCATGTTAGACATTTCCAGGTGAATTACCACGGAAATGCAGGAGAACTCACGTGGGATATTAAAAATCCCTGCAGAAAACCATCCCTGATAGAAACGTATGCAGTTTTCCCCGATATCCATCTAGATACCGCACAGAAAAAAATAGTCTCAAATCAATGATAGATATTGTTATGTATGAGCAAAAATATTATAATGTTTTTAGAAGATTTTTAGCCCTTTGAATTGGATACAAGTAATACTTGTATTAATACAAATTTCGTTAAATCATAACTAAAAATCTCCTAAGAAAATTATAATATTCCTGATGAGAATGAGAATATCTATTCTTGATTTGAGACTAATTTTTTCCCGCCTGTCTTGTATTAATGCATTCTCATTAGTTGTAACAATATTGCGTAGGAAATGAACAAGAATATGATAAAGTGTTATTCAGATAATGTTATTCAGAGGATAAGAGAGACTTCAGAATACGCGTTCAGATAATTTGGTTATTGTAACCAAATCATTCAGTTGAAACTATTTTATTAAATATTTGACAATTGTTATCAAATCCTTTTTCTAGTGTAAGAACCAAGCTCGTGAGAATTAGAAATTTTATATTAGAAATTCCTCAATTAGAAATTCCTTTGTTAAAAATTCCTTAAACCAAAACGCATTCGGTTGTCCAATATCAGGTAGATCCAACCAAACTCATTTTCTAATATACAGGATTCCATATAGATTTCCTATATGGATTCCTACCTGTTTTCTTTTTTTTTTTTTTAACAGGGTAACCTATTCGCGAGTATTCTCGGCCGTCCTTCGACGTGTTTAAAGCCGCGTGCAAATCGTCCCGTTCCCCATAAGCATAATCTAATTACCGGCGTGTGCAAGGTGTCCGCCGAGTGCAAACGAGGCACCGCTAGACTTGCGCGTACGTGCTCGGTCCACCTGGGGAAATCAATATCCAGCCGACGTCCAGGTTCACTGCGAGCCGTTGCTTGCACGACGGTACGCGCAACAGTTGCGTCGGGACTGCGAAGAAGACGTTACGAACGAGGGATACACGTCGTCGACGCGCCGATAGTGTGTTGCCCGACCGAACGACAATTAGAAAGTGCATCCGCTGGGCTCCCATCCGGAGACGATCGGCGAGCGGGATTCGAGGCGCGCGCGCGACTCCGCAGCTTCGAACGGGATCGGATGTGCGCTGTGTGTTGCCATGGAAATCCGCGAGAACGACCGCATCATCGGCCGTGAATTAAAGGCGCACCGGTAAACAACGACGCGTTGGCGGTGCCGACACTTGGCCAACATGACCGAGAAACGACTGTCGTTGGGTATCAACGTCAGCATTCTGCTGATACTGGCGATATTCGGCGTGCTGCTGTCTCTGCCGTTGCGATTGTTGTTCGACACGAGTTATGACAATCAGGATCGCGATAGCGAAGAGACTAATGTCACCGACCCGGCCGACCTGGGGAAAGAGAGGCTGCCCGTGATACCGATGGATCATCGAAAGTTGAGACGGTGCCCGAATCTACCGTACGAGGATCGCCTATCGTCCGTCTTTCTCAACGATTACGATGGAAATTGCACATACGTGCGAGATGACGATGACGACGACGACGACGATGAAGATAATGATAACAAGAATGATGACGATGACGACGACGACGACGACGATGATGACGACAATTCCGAAGAGGAAGAGGATAGCCGAGAAATTGGGGAAATTCGCAAGATCAAGAGAGGCATCGACCAGCTGATGAAGGAAAATGCGGATGATATCTTGAAAATGCGCCAGACGAAGTCAGTCACGGTTGCGGGCCACATACTCGTGGCGATGTTACTCATATCAGTAATAGCCGCTCTCGTTGAAGTACTACGAATACGCTTCGAATTCGCCAGAGAAAAAGTACTGCGCCACGCATTACGCAAGTTCTCGAGTTCCTGCGTTGGAACTTGGTATTCTCATGAATGTCTACCGTCATTTTATAGTCAGTGAAGATTTTACCGCCCAAGATGCTCGTTTCTTAAAGACAGCTCGGTATTATTTCAAGTGATTGCCCTAACCAGACGAACGATTAGCTGAAAATCAAATTACCACTAAATGAGCACATTTCGACTGAAGGTTGATAACCGAGTTCCAACGCAAGCGATTAATCGTACTGGTCGTTATTAATTCTTTGAGCATGTTACGCACGAATCCGCAAATTGCACCTACGTGTTACCAAATCTAAATTGAAATTGTTCATATGAAACACATACAACACATACATACACACACACACATACATATACATGTTCTCGATATTTTGCACCGTTCAGGATTGATTGCGATATTCGACAGAGACCGACGGATAAGAGTTTCGCGCTAGTTCGTTCGCGGAACTAATAGCTAGACCGTCTCTCGATGCTCGGATAGACAACCATTCGTCAAACTCTCTATTGCACCTTTTCTTTTCAAAAATGCATAAGGATTCGTCTAGGGCAGGCACGACTATTTCGCGACGATGCTCCTCCAACGTGGACCTACCCGCTCCAAATCGTCCCATTTCAAGAGAATTAATTAAAAGTCAGAGGTCCTTTGAGATACATGGAATGCACCGTTCCGCATTGCGTTTGTTAGGTACGTGCGAGAAGTAAGAATAGTAAGTATACAAAAAGAAGTATCTTTGAGGGAGAAGAAGCATGTACACGGAAGAAAAATGTCAGTTCTTGCAACTGAATAAGGAAGATGAAAACTCAGTAACAAGAAATGCGCTCCGTTATCTCTGTTACCGTGAATGAGACACTCGTGTGAACATTTAGTTGCATTAAAACTCGGCTGGGAGAACTAAGAACAATTGACTGAGTAGAAACTTCCTACAGGAATTTTTCTCTTCCTACGAACCGAATTTTCGTCTGATCCCCAGGCAATGGAAAATTCAGTTATGTTCACGGAGTTACTTTTTCCGTGTATATATTCAAAAGCAATATATACATTTCTCAGAAATCCCTAATTGAAATTATTTTGCGCAGTCTTTTGATAACTTAGATATTCGAAGTTTATATTTTGTTAGTTTCTATTTTCTATATCCACGACCCATCCCTCCTTCTAGCGGTATTTTGTACTAATGAGATTTGTAAATTCACATCTTTAATTAATGAAAAATATTCCCTGCGGCGATTACAATAGTTTCTCCATATAAGGGATTCTACATGTTTTGAATAATGAAAAAAATCTTGTTTACTCATTGCTGTTGTACTTTTTTAATTACACAGTAAAATATTTTGGGTTAAAAACTGTCCACTGAAGTTTCGTATCGCTTTAACACAGGAAATGTGCTAATTTAACATTATATTTGCGTACTTTTCAACACATTTTCCCGTGTGTAACACAAAATTTCAGCGAATTGTTTTTAACATGGAATTTTTTACTGTGTATGAAAGCACTGAGAGAAACAAGTACTCATGTCACAGTGCACAGAATACCGCTAGCGATGCGAGGTAAAGGCTTTAATGCGGTTAGCGGGCAGACGTAAGTCAGAAAAATTGAATTATCCACCCCCTCAGGAGCGCGTCCGCCTCCGCTCATCCGCCGCTCCTCGTTCCCGACACCACAAGCGAAGCAAGCCGCTACTTCGTCTTTTTGTGGTACGCCGACCAACCGGCTGACGCGGCGTCAATCGGTTGAATCGGACGAAGAAACCCGAATCGTCACCAATGTTCTCCACCATCGCACTCGTCTGATCCGACGTCATTAAGACAAGCACGAGAATAGGTAAAGAAATATGCTTTCGATACGTTTTTTTTTTTTTCGTACGCTTTATCTAACGACCGTACTTTTCACGAGAAGACGCAGGGAAACTTTTATTTTTGCTCCTACATTAAATCTACGTTTGTGTTGTCCAGGATCACTTATGAACACGTCTATATAATCAGATAAAAGAGAGATTATCAAACATTCGCGATATGTAAAGTAGTAAAAAATTCCATTTCTATTATTTGCGCTATTCGCGTACTTTGCGTGTAAGAATATGTCTAATTTCTTCCCGTCTTTTTCCAGTAATGTCTCAGTTCATTGAATCGTTTCAATCGTATCGGTGACAACAACTGACAGGGTACGCATGTCTTCGACTAAACGGTATGTCATTAAATTTAGCAATCCTTATTGTAAACTTCGAAAGATACATAACTGATATCCGAATCAAAATTTCGATTTTACATTAATTCTGCAGATTCTATCGAACTTGGAAATAACTAACGTAGAATCCCCAGATGTAACATTATGCAGTTTATTGTCCTACCTTAATGCTACAAATGATTATTTACTGCCGTTTTTTTCTATATCGAATCATTTACAGTTCATCATTATTCGAAATTTTAAATAGTTTCGTAAATATTTGATAATTCGTCAACCTGTACTTATTTCATACAATTAAAATCTAATATGAATCTCGCAAGTGCTATTTCTTGCATGTAATAATATTCCTTGAGCTATAAAGTATTCTATTTTATATCTTTACTAGATTTTTATATCTTGTAAGTAATCAAATATTGAATAATTTATTGAAATAAATCATTCTCTAAAATTTAATATAGAGAAAATAGTGAGAAATAAACCATTTATAGTATTAATGTGCGTACATAAAACAATAATTATAATATTATATCTCAAATTCCCTATTGGTCCTTTTAGACCAACGAAATTGGCAGGGTTAATATAGAATCAAAATTTCTAATTTGATTATAATGATATTTGCTTGTCAGCAGATCATACGCAACGCACAACGACCACGTCTAATGACTTTTTTAACGCTCGTGCAACGTCGAAAGGTCTTTCACCGAGAAACAGATCCACAGTTGTATCTTCCACTTTACCCTCCACGGCGGCTTTGATAGTGCTTCATCTATGCGATATTTTTGTAACATGTCATCGATTAAGTTCTGCTTTCTAGCGATGCGATACTTTAATGACGCGAGAAGAATACTCGGTATGGCAACACTAAATCAAACGTCAGAATCAAATGTTGCCGCAAAACACGGTAGAAAGCTGAATTCCCGTAGTACATGTAAGAACTAGTCTGTAATGCTTAATCGAGCAATTTTTATTTTCCACATTGATCGCATATTTTAAGATCATATAATAATCAAACGGATCATGATGTTGTCAACGCGATTAGTCCAACTCGGCGATTGATGATTTGTTAATGAGTAATAAATTCAATCTTAGTCTTATAATTATAATAATATTACACTATTGTATATTTAATGCACGGACTGTCCTAGAACTGTATATACCAGAACTAGATTTGTATTAATTTGATCTCGAATAGAAGAATAGAATTTGTTTGATGAAACATTTGTTTGATGAAAAATTAAATCGAGAGAGAACCAATATTTTTTTAAACGTATAGTTCTGATGTATACTTTAATTCTAAAAGACACTTTGTGTATTAAATAAAACAGATCGATGTGTATTCTTGAACTGACAGTACAACGACCGAATGTATTTATTCGTGCCACTGTTATTATTTTCCTAATGTTTACGATATTTTTATCGCGTAAGAAACTCTTTATCGATGTATTTTAATACATAAAAATTACAAAGATTTATGAAAGATGTCACATGTCTATATGAAAGTTACACGACAATGAGCTTTGTCAAAGTACAGATGCAAGACTGCGTATGTATAAATTATTTCAAAATGATTATTACTACAATGCTACAGATTTTCGTAATAAGAAGATATGATTGTGTCTCTGTATCAACGAACCTTCAGACCATTTACTCCTGTGATCATCATCTTTCCTCATGTGATATGTACAAAATACTATAAATTGCGAAATATATAAATGTGGATGTATTATTGTGTAACTTAGACACACATACTGCGACTAACGTTTTAAACACTGTGATATGCTCTCTCACGTTTATGTCATTACACAAAATATATAAAATCAAAGAAATATATTAATGCGAAAAATGTAATCTAATTTTTAAATATATATTTATGCATCTTGATGTCCCAACATTCCAATATCTCAATATTCATAAAACAATATAAATAGTTAATAATAGTTAATAATAAATTGAATTTTACAACTATACCCAGTTGTAAATTTAAAAAAATATCTTTCTCTCTTAATATTTATAAAATAACAAAAGAATTGATGAATAAATAAATGTCACTTTTTTATAGAGCTACTATATTTATTATATACTGACATTTTCTAATCCAGAAAATTGACATATTTTAACCCTTTGCACTCGAGGGCTCCGGAGCGGAGCCATTTAAAATTTGTCTTCAAACTTTTCAAACTCAAATGCAAATAGCAAGAGCGAAATATCCTATACACAATAGTTTTTACGATTTGTCTTTGTCCTTATGTTATGAACTAAAAGTTATTTGCATTGTCTCCATAGCGGAGCCCTCGAGTTTGAAGACAAATTTTAAATGGCTCCGCTCCGGAGCCCTCGAATGCAAAGGGTTAATATTGGCATGCAAATTTTTTCAACGAAAACATAATTTCATATATAATTATTTGCAGTTATTACATCAGAAAGTATCATTCTTTTTTACAATTACTATAATTTCATTATTATTTATTGAATGTCTATATATGTTTACAATAATTACATGATAATATATCTACATTCATATATTTCGTAGTCGATAATGTAAGATAGTTTGTTTACCAACATCAAGTACTATTAAAAAATCGCCACTAGATAGATGGAGCCAGACGAGGAAGGGATAATTAAAGAATATTCACATTATCGACTTACCAACCGGTTAACTTACCAACCACTTAAGATATACAGAAAATTAATTTATATATAACATAATATTAATATTATAATTTATAGAAATATATTACAAAATATATATACAGGGTGTCTTATTTTAATCTATTTATTTCCTTTCTTATCTTCGCAAAGATAAAAGTGGTGATAGATTAAAATAGGACACTTCGTACATATAAACATTACAAAAAAAACCTCAAATACTAATATTTTTCGTCGGATATAATTTTATTTTAAAAAATTAAGAATTTGAGAAAGAAGAAATATAACTTTAAAAATATTAAGATTTCAATATACATACAAGATAAGACATAATGACGATAAAGCATAAATCATGAAGAAATGAATATAATTAATATCACAAAGATAATAACAATCCAGGCATATGTTATAATTAAATGTCGATATTATGTATTGTCAGAAATGCAAATAGCCAAAAGTATTTACTTCGATTGTATTTAAATATAATTTTTAAACAACAGTATTTTTTCGTTGTAGACATATATCATTATATATATCGCAGTTTATTTTGACCTGATTCCGAGCTGATTGCCTTTTCTGACTCGCCTGTGATCCATAAAGACAAGTTTGTTTCATCCAACCACATTTCAATGTAACCTTGCACTCTTGCAAGATACGTCAATCTGTAGCGGGATTCTGTAATCGACAACTGTCGGCTGGAAATTGTATCGTTGCGCAAGTTAACATATGGTAAAAAAGCGTCGATCCATGTCGGTAGACGGTTACAAGACTCCGCTACAGGTGGCGCATGGCCCATGCCCAGCCAGTTCAAGGATAAGGATACGGGTTGTCAGTTCCAGCGTGTTTTACCGGAATAATACAACGATACAATTGAAATCATGCTCGGACGTTTGCCTGCGTGCGTCATTGACGTAGGCACTGGGTAAGTGTGATCTCTAAAGTGGTAGAAGATATACGGAAAATCGACAATTTAGGGTGGAGCTGATTAAGGTTAGAAAGCGACCGATATGTCACTGGCGACATGTACTGTAGATAAACACTTGATAAAATGTAACCGCACCTCCCCGATGATTCACGTATATCCTATATCAATTTTTACAATAGAAGCCTTGCATTATCTCGTAACAAAGTGCTATATATAGCGCATATATATCAGTCCATTTAAACTCATTTTGCAGATACACAAAATTGGGTTTTGCTGGCAACAAGGAGCCTCAGCTGACCATACCCTCAGCGATTGCTATTAAAGAAACAGCTAAAGTAGGTGATAATAATGCAAGAAGGATTACGAAGGGCGTCGAGGATCTGGATGCTTATATCGGAGATGAAGCTTTTGAAGCCACTGGATATTCAGTTAAAGTACCTATCTAGGGAATGCTCTTGCAAGAAGTAATATTATATTCAATAATGCGTTTTTGATCATTATATTTTTCAACCTTGTACAAAGTATCCTGTGAGACATGGACTGGTAGAAGATTGGGATCTGATGGAGAAGTTTCTGCAACAATGTATTTTCAAGTATCTCCGATCAGAGCCCGAAGATCATTACTTCCTGTTAACGGAACCACCTTTAAACACTCCGGAAAATCGAGAATATACGGCAGAAATTATGTTCGAGTCGTTTAATGTGCCAGGACTTTACATAGCTGTACAAGCTGTTCTTGCATTAGCTGCTTCATGGACTGCCAAAAATGTGGAGGATCGTACTTTAACAGGCGTTGTTGTCGATAGCGGAGATGGTGTGACTCATGTGATTCCAGTAGTATGTACACAAACGCACCATCGAATTTCTGTCTAAAATCGTGCTTATAAAGTCCGCAATGACAATGAATACTGTATCTTACAGGCGGAAGGTTTTGTTATAGGGAGTTGCATAAAACACATTCCTATCGCGGGTCGTGATATTACTTATTTTATACAAAGTCTGCTAAGGGAACGAGAGATCGGAATACCACCTGAGCAATCATTAGAAACTGCCAAAGCAATCAAAGAGAAATATTGTTACATATGTCCAGATATATCGAAGGAATTTGCCAAATACGATAGTGATCCTACGAAAATTAAGAAATACGAAGGTGTCAATAGTATCACCAAGCAACCTTTCGTCGTGGACGTCGGATACGAAAGGTTTCTCGGACCGGAAATATTCTTCCATCCTGAGGTACGTTGCTTGTGCATATGCACATACATTAAGCGATATAATATTTATTAGGCCTAATGACAATCGAATTATTCACGTACAATGATTTTACATGTTTGTGCATAATGACTGTTGCTTTGGAGGATATTTGCCGGTTCACAGAATAATCAGCGGTCATTGTGCACGAATATTCATTGCGCTTGATCGAAAAATTGCATTGTCACTAGTAAGTGTTAAGGCTATTATGCCACTTAGTGTACATCTATATAAAAGATTGTATACGTGACGACGTTAGTTTATCGCCCATCTAATCAATTTGCTCGTCATTTTTGTACACGAAAATTTACAGTTTTCCAATCCAGACTTCACGACACCGCTTAATGAAATTGTCGACGATGTGATTCAAAACTGCCCAATCGATGTCAGAAGACCATTGTATAGTAATATCGTGTTATCGGGAGGATCCACTATGTTTAAAGATTTTGGCAGAAGACTGCAGCGCGACATTAAAAAGATTGTTGATACACGACTCAAGCTCAGTGAAACGCTAAGTGGCAGCCATATTACGGTAAATGACGCTGTATAGTGCGATTTCTTGTTTATAAAATATATCTTTTATTTGTTAAATTATACATTTATATATTTCAGCCAAAACCGATAGACGTTCGTGTGATATCGCATCACAAGCAGCGTTGCGCAGTGTGGTACGGTGGTGCACTACTGGCCAGTGATCCAGAATTCTACACGGTCTGTCACACGAAGAAAGCTTACCAAGAGTATGGTCCTGGAATTTGTCGTTATAATCCCGTGTTTCACAGTATGGTGTAAGGGGTGTAATAAACGAGATGAATACGTCGATCGAATTATCTTTTGCTTTTTAAATAATAAATACAAGGTTTCAACATTTTAGCTCGTTTATAAAAAGAGACAATTTCACATACTTCTATTTACAAAAAGAATCATGTTAAAAAAGCATATCTATGAACTTACACAATTACCTTATGAATATTAATGTAATATTTTACTCTGTTTTTTTTTTTTATATGTAATACAAAACTATGATATACGATATATAAACAAGGTGTAACTGAAATAGATGACTGAACTTGAGGAACATAATTTTAGCCTGATCTTGAGAATGAAATAGTATGATTTAAAAGTTTGCAGCTTTTTTCTGTCAAACTCCGTCATAAACAAAAAGTGCTTATATCTCGAAGAGAAAGAATCTCCTAAACCCACAGAGAGAGAGAACCTTTTTTTCATTCTTAAGTTTAGTGGATACGTTTCTGAAATTCAATCATCTATTTTACCTTGCATTACACCTTATATAAAGCATTTATGTACACATAAGACGTATATAGAATTTATTCTGTATATTTTATTTACTGCAATATAGGTACATTCATTGTATTTACACGTTGTATAGAAACACATATGTAATAATTGATTTGTTACAATAATTAACCGATTTAATGCCATGTTATACGATAATACAATATCACATATGCATATTCAAAAATTGAATTTCTCAATGATCAGATATTCTAATAATCAACAACTCTCTGCTGTTTTATCTTTTTGTAATAAATTAAATAAATTAAATAATTTTGAAAATAAATTGTCCTCCTCTATTGCTATATACTAGATTCTTACAGTTGTTACGTAATAAAACTGCACAATTTATGATTAACCATTACCGTTTTAATCGTTTTTCATCGTTCTAACTATTTTTAATCGTCCTGATCGTTTTTAATCGTTTCAATTGTTTGAGTCGTTTTTAATCGTTTTGCCATCATAGGTTCCATGTGATTAGAAAAATGGCATTATTATGCGTGATCATCATTCTCCTCACTAAATAAACAAATAATAATTGTTATTATTATTTAATTCAATTGCACATTAGCTATGTAAATATTAATACTTTTATGCAATTAATAGTTCATTTTTAAATGCTTAATAATAACATAAGACTGACTGCGACTAGGACAGCACATACACAAACATATCTCTTTCCAACTCATATGTAATAAAGCTCTATTATATATGTTTCCCACTTTTTTCCACTTTTTTCCACCTTTTTCCACATTTTTCCACTTTTATATATAAATATATACTTACAAGAGGTGCAAACCATTTAAAGCATCAGGCGCTACCTCGTCAATGCCCGTAAATAATGAAGAAAAGAAAAGAGAAAAGAAGTTTGAGTTGCTTTGAGCTGTTCTTTCACTTGTTGTAGTCCTTCTGTAGATATTGATACTGTCTATCGGCGGCAATGGATCGTGTGACAATACTGGTCCTTCATTCTGGATCTAGAATGAGTAATATACGTGCCTCAACAGATTCTATCGCATAATTTCACGACACATTAGTAGTATGTAAAATATACACACCTCTTGTACATTAACAATAACTTCTTTTATATCCGCTAAAATGATGTGTCTCAAGATATTTTTTGGCATCCCTTGATATCTCTTGCTACGCTTCACTCGACAGTACTTAACATAATCGTCTTTAAGCTCAACGCGATTTAGCACAGTGTGTACGTTTGACTCCAACCATGGTAAAATGTCTGCCTCCTTCCACAGATGAAAACTACGCGCTACGTACAAATTTTGTAGTTTCTCTAAAGCCGGCGACGTACTTGCTTGTGCTTGAGAATTAAAGAAATCGTGACGCATCACCTAAATAAACAAAGTGTATCGATAAGTAATATTTTTGAGAACAGCATATCAAGGAACAATTTTTAAAGGAAATATTTAAAGCTTCTGTTTTCTCACTGCAATCGTATTGACATTAGAAGCGTAGTCACGTGAATTTTTCTTGTGACATAATTTTTTACATACCTTGCTGTCCGTCTGTATGCTACATTTTTCAAGTAAAAGCATCAGTACACCTGGAAACATGATAAGAGCCTTCTGCAAAAACTCATCAGCATCAAATCTCTCTCCCAAACGAAAGTGAGCCAAGGCTAGGCTGTATGCTATGTTTGGTAATTGAGTTAAATTTCTGGTGCTTTCCCAAAGATCACAAAACTTGATAAACCATTCGTATTCCTTAGCTCTTAAGGCATAAAAATCAATAAACAAGACTACCGCTAGTGGGTCACCTTCTGGATCCAATGACAAAAGTAACTTACAAAATTCCAAGCTTGTTCTGAAATTTTAATAGAATTTCCTTTTATTGTTTGAATCTATTTGTTTGGGTTATGTGTTACAATGTATACCTGTAACAAGCACGTCCACCAACAAATCCAAGATGTTTAAAAAGTGTTATAAACAATGCACGATTCTGCTGTTTCCGGTAATCTAATCTGCACTGTGCAGATGTTACATTGAAGGATGGATGAAAAGCACATTCTAAGCAATACAAAGCTCTTTCAATGAAGCCTGCTGCCATTGCTAAGTCTTCACTTAATTTACAAAGTTCAGCTAATTGTAGGAGAGCATCTACATGATAAGAATGTGCATTTACTATGCTCTGCAATATAATTGTTAACATTTATATGGTATATCTAGGTGGACAGATAAAAACAACGGTTAGATTTGATTTTTAGAACTTTGCAGTATACGTTTGCTGGTGTTGTACATTTACTTACAATTATGTTCTCTGGATTCAAGCTTTCAACAGCCTGCAAGAATTTTAGTTGTATCTGTTTGTATGAAGAACTATGCTGGTATACAAAATACTGTACATTCCCTGTACTTTCTATAGAATAATCTAAAGACATTGATAATCCAGATTTACCAATTGGTGGCCAATTATCTCGAGGGCAAACTAACCATGTTTTCTTCAAGTGGCCAGAACGACTTCTATTTCTTCGTTTGCTATGAAAATAGAGTTATTCTTCACAGTTAATAATAGTTTATAAATTAATGGCTATATATTTACTATCTATATATTATTAAATATATTATGCGTGCATAATTGACAAAATTTTATAATACACTGCTCATAACAATTAAAGGTTCAAAAATTTTCCAGGTTCGAAATTTGATTTTTCAGTCATTTTGAAGCTTGAATCTTTTAGTTTCCAAATAAATTAAAAAAACATCGCTACCACTTTTTTTCGCGAAGTTATCCTTCAATGGAAGAAACCAAAACGGAATTGCCAAATTTTGAAAATTTTTGATCCTTTAATTGTTGCGAGCAATGTGGTATCTTAAGGAATCGTGCAAAAGAGATAATAATAAGTATTTAATTATACCTTCGTTCGGCTTGTATAGTTTTACTACCAAAAATTTTCTTCAATTCGTTATATGGATTCAAATGTTTATGCTCTATAGTCAATATATCCTCCTTAGATATTTTATTGATCCATTGTGGCTCAGATATTTGTTTGCTGCAACCTGGTACTGGTTCTCCGAGCAGTTGGTTCACTTCCCATATGCTTTGCTCAATTTCATCTATATTTTTGTTGCACTCCACATCTTGCTGCTGCTGATTTTTAACATTCTCTGTCTTCTTACGTTTTTTTTTCTTTTTCTTGGGTTTTGCCTCATTGTAATTCACATCGTTTGAAAGCGTATTCTCATCATCTTGCTTATCATTGGTGTCTTTGCTGTCATTATCAGAGCTCTGATTTAACTGTAAATATAAATAGTCATACAGGAGATAAATTCTAGATAGAGATTTAGGGTGTGATTCACTTTCATAGGTTTCAAAGTTTTCAGAATAGGATTCATTCGCACAAATGATACGTGTTTAATGACGTCATACGCACTACTGGAATACTTTCAAGCCTGATTAGATTGAATCACATCCATAAAATTGCAGCATATCTATCAATATGTACCACGTCGAAAACGTTGAAAGATTTCGACTTCGTGTCGTTGTTTACCGAAATCTCTGTGTCACTCGCACTATTGTTATCCTTTTCCGCGATTACATTGCCGCCGTAAACTTTTTTCATATAACGCGTAGACATTTGAAATTATTGACAAATATGAAGAATATGTTGAAACACAATCGTGATCAATTTCCCGAAGTATAGACAAATGGACTCACAGGTACCTCCTACCACGACTTTTCAACGACACCGATGCAATTTTTCTAACAGTTGTCAAATCTCGCACACATTGTTATCTTTCTCCGAGAAGAGAGAACTACACGCTGAGCATTGAATTATATAAATAGAGAGAAGCGGCCACGCCATATGGATTTCTCGGAAACGCTGCTTCTCATGCGCCCTCTGTACAAGTAGACGTTATTTCCGCTGAACGCGTGAAGAGGAAATGACGCGCGACACAGCTGTTGTCCACGTGTACAGCGAAACAATATGGCGCCACGCAGGGAAAGTAGGGTTAATGTCAACTCGGCAAAGTTCTCGAAGAAAGATTGCAAAAGTTGGGTAAGAAGTCACTTAGAATGGCGATATTTCGTCTCCCTGCTGACCGAGCCGAGGAGGCTGCCGTCGACGGCGATAACGTTCATCATCCTGGAGGTGCTGTTGAACGTGCTGGTTATCAAAAATGTGCCGTACACCGAGATCGACTGGAAGGCGTACATGCAGGAGGTCGAGGGCTTCCTCAACGGCACTCTCGATTACACGAAATTGAGAGGTGACACCGGCCCGTTGGTCTATCCCGCCGGATTCGTCTACATCTTCGTTGGTTTGTACTACACGACCTCACGCGGTACGGAGATCAGAGCGGCGCAATACTTCTTCGCGGCGCTGTACGTGATCACGCTGACGCTGGTTTTCCGAATTTACGCGAGGACGAGAAAAGTGCCGCCCTACGTACTGATCCTGATGTGTTGCACCTCCTATCGGATACACTCGATATTCATTCTGAGGTTGTTCAACGACCCGGTGGCGATGGTGCTCCTATTCGCGAGCATCAACGCGTTTTTGGACGATCGCTGGTACCTGGGTAGCGCGCTGTACAGCCTCGCCGTGTCAGTCAAGATGAATATATTGTTGTTCGCCCCGGCGCTCCTCACCGCTTACCTGTGCATATTGGGGATGTTCAAAACGTTGATACACTTATCTCTCTGTGCATTCATACAGCTGGTCCTGGGCCTTCCGTTTCTACTGGCAAATCCAGTCGCATACGTGAAAGGTTCCTTCGATTTGGGTAGAATTTTTGAATTTAAATGGACCGTGAACTGGAGATTCTTACCGGAAGATGTATTTGTTCATCCGTACTTTCACCTTTCCCTGTTACTCCTGCATATCTTAACGTTGCTTTACTGCGCGCCCAATTGGATCACTTATATGAAGTCGTACGCGACATTGAAGCTAGTCGAGAAAGATTTGAAACCTCAGCTTCGCGGTAAAGAGAGAGTGGACACGTCCATGATGAGTCAGTTGTTTGTCTACCCTCTTTTCGTCGCAAATTTCATCGGCGTTGTGTTCAGCAGATCGTTGCATTATCAATTTTATATCTGGTATTATCATACGTTACCGTATATCGCCTGGTGCACCCATTATAAGACTGTCTTTAAACTGACTGTTTTAGGCCTGATAGAATTGTGTTGGAACACATATCCGAGTACAGTTTTCAGTAGCGCGGCTTTACACCTGTGCCACGTTATTCTGCTGTACGGAATTCTGAAAGATAGGTCGGCCAATACGAAAAAAGAATGAGAAACGGTGCCGTCTATTTTCTTCCTGTGCAACAATAATATATATATATATATATATATAATGAGTGAGAGAAAGAGAAAGTGTGAGAGTGAGAAAAAGCGTGTATCTTATTTACAATCAATCATTTTCACACTATATTCGTGTTTTGAAATGTACAAAACGCTATTAGTTCATTCTGTAACTTTTACAGGGTTGTTGCAACACTCGTACACCTATATGAATATGTAAAATATGTATCTTTTGTACATAGAAATGAAATAAATTAAGAACAACAGTGTTTCCATCCGTGCACGTTTCTTTCACAAATGAAATCGCTTTGTCGCTACTTTTATTATCCGATTGACTTAGTTTCACGTTTCATTAAGTAGATTCGGCGATATGCGATATCCAGGTGATCGAGTTGTAACTGTAACATGAGATTAATGAGGACAAACCGTTCGGAGAGGCCCGAACGAAGTTAGCCCTCGCTTTTTGAATTGACTGATTTTGACAGTTCTGATTTTTGTTAGATTTGTGCTACATGTGTGTATTCGAAATTATAAATCTATAATACGAGGAAAAGTGAAAGGAACAATTTTTTCGCCAGTCCTCATTTTCGATTTTTTCAATTACATTGAGTTATGTTAACATTGTGCTAAAGCAGTACCTCCGAAAAATAATAATGAAAGAAGTAAAAAGAAAAAAACAATTTTGGGCAAAACAAAACACAACGTATTCGCATAAGTGTAACGATATAGAATAAGTCAGTACAAGTTCGATTCCGTCAGTATAACAATTTTAATGGCACTTTCTTTACTGTGACCATTTGCGCTCGCAATCCATGTCTATAACTACGATTTCTAGACTTCGTATCAATATACCTGAGTAGCATAGCATAAATTCGGTTTTACTTCAGTATGTAATATATTCAGATACGTAATTGTACACCGTTTGATTTAACGATACGAATGTAAACGTTATGTAACTATGTTTTGTTTCATCCAAAACTATTTTGTTTCTTTTATTTCTTTCATTATTTTTTTCGAAAGCACTGCCTTAACACAATGTCAGCACAATTGAAAAGCTTGCAATAATCGAAAAGTGGGGGGGGGGGGCTGGCGAAGAAGAATCGTTTTTCTTTCATTTTCTCTACACATTTTTCGCATCACAGAATTATAATTCAAGCACAATGTAACACAACCGTTAAATTAATTAACTCGAAAAGGGTCGAACTTCGCTCAGGCTTCGGACAATACAGAATAAGGAATGATAGAAATTACCAAAGCGAGACAAACCGCGAGAACGGGACAGCGCAAAGTGTGCCGAGTGGAAAGAGTCGTCCCCTTTCTCCCGCTAGTCCACTAACGGTTATTCCGTCCGGGAATCTTGTATATAATCGCGATTTGCTCTCTTCTCCTTGAACGCTTTATCAGCTTAACCAGTGCGATACGCTTCAGTCGTGACATTGCGCGCGCACCGGAGGATACCGCGCCGTTAACATCGATCGTATCCGCTTTTGCTTTGCAGTATCGCGGCGACAGTATCTGAGCACACCCGGTTCGAGCGCGACACCCTTCCAGGCTACTTGATCTCACCTTTCTACGATTTACTCGCGTCGTTTTGTTTCATTTCCTCGTTGTACTTACCGTGACACTATCCTCGATCTTGACCTTCGTTCTCACCGAAATAGTGCTCCCACGATATTAACGCGTGACATACCTCGTTATCATTAAGTGAACTCGCGACACGCAGTCAGCATTTGCAGATAAGAATCCTCGAACGAGTTCCTAAACGATAGGTTTCGTTTTGTTGTCTATGAAAAGGTCTGCTGTGCGTGGGACCTCGGATATCCGGGAGAATCGAATTACAATAAGACCAAATACAGGTAAGAAAGCGAGAAAGTAAGCGGCTGAACCGACTATGAAACCGTCGGAGAAAGTTGTATCACGATGAAATTTTGCGGCATGCGCTGCTACTTTTGTTGGAAAATTGTTGCATTATATCTATATGTGTATAAGCGAGTCGAACAATTTATATTTCCATGATGTTTTTCCTCTGAAATCAAACTGTATAATTTTTTGTCTCATGAATAGTTATCAGTATAAAATGTGAAATATCTCGTAGGGTATTTATTCGTCGATTTCTGTGCGTCATACGCAGACTAATAAGTGAGAGGAATTAATCTGTAAAAGATAAAAGAAACTGCGTACAATTCCGTTAAAAACAGATCAGATTAACGAATTTTCAAAATGTCTTTGAAAGAAACCTACTTTGTCTTACCGCTTTTTACCCCTGAACAGTCCAAGTTTTCTCTTAAATATTTATCGTGGGAAACTTAATAAAAATATTTTAGTATTCTATTTTTCGTGACTTACCTTAGCGAAAACTAACGAACATACGACAAGAAAATAGGAATAAATGCGATTGCCATATCATGCTATATGTAATTATATATACATTATATTAACTGAACCGGCAATGACTGGCATGTATGCATTGGAATACGATAAGAATCAATTATCAATGGCAAGTCAAATTCTGTCGAAACTTTTAAATGTCATGCAATCGAAAAGAGTCATGCAATCGAAAAGAGGTGCATTAAAATTTTTATTCGTTTAAGTCAACTTGGATAAAAAGGTAGAGACTTACAAATCGACACCATACTACATTTGATGACTCGACGAAATGTACAGGGAAAAAAGAATGCTATAAATTTAAGCAAATAATTATTCCTTAGCAAATTTTTACTTGGATTAAATAAACTTGGATCAAGTAAATATTACTTGATCCAAGTAAAAATATTTACTAAAGAATATTGGAGTAATTATTTATTTGAAGAATCTAGCTTTTTTTCTACGTACCTACATATTTTCATTTAAAAAATAAGATCAAAAGATTCTGAAAATAACGTTGAGGATGTTTTTAAAGGAAGTTGTATCGTTTTTATCTTTGTAAACAGTGCAAGTTTTCTCTTCAATATCTATTTAAAAAAAATTTACTAAAAATATTCAAGTATGATCCTATTGAAGCGATCGAAGAGATATTAATTAATTAAATTAATTTTGTACATTGCTGCTTATTATATTATTATTACTGCAGTTACTATTGTTGTCGTTATTATCATTACAGAATGGCGTTAACGTACTGGGAGAGTATATTATTGGTGATAATAGCGCTCGTCGCTTTGCGAGCTTTTGTAAAAGCCGCTGTTCTAGCGTGGAAAAAATTAATCGCCCCGAGTCTGGGACTCGGAATTGACTTACGAACTCAAGGGAAATGGGCAGTGATAACAGGTGCGACGGACGGACTTGGGAAAGCGTTCGCCAAAGCGCTCGCTGAAAAAGGTTTGGACATTGTTTTGGTTTCGCGATCTATGTCCAAGCTGAAAGACGTGGCTGCCGAAATCAAGCAGAAATACGGAGTCGAAACCCGCGTCGTGGAAGCTGATTTAACAGAGGGCCAAGTGGTTTATGCGGAAATCGCCAAAGCTACGGAAGACTTGGAGGTAACGACGCGATTTGATACATCATTCAATACATATTCTCGCACGAATTGATAAGACACTCCTGGTCCGTCGCTGCAAATTGTTTTTGTTTGATGACGTCAGAAGCGAGAAAACGCGTGCCAAAAATTCTTGCGTTACTTTCTTCACCTTCAATTTGTCTCTTCTTCACCTTCGCTCGATATCAAGATATTAAATTTGATTCATCGTGGGCAGGTGGGCGTCCTCGTTAACAATGCCGGCGCAAGTTACGATCATCCGGAGATTTTCACGAACGTGTCGGAGGAAGTTCTTGCCAAGATACTTCAGTTAAACGTTGCCGGCGTAACTGGGGTCGCGAGGGCTCTGCTACCTGGTATGTTGGAGCGGAAGAAGGGGGTAGTAATAAACATCAGTTCAACGGCCGCCGCTATACCGAGTCCTTACCTGTCCGTTTACTCCGCCAGTAAAGCATACATAGACAAACTCAGCGCCGATTTGGCAGCGGAAGCGGCGCCAAGAGGGGTCACCATCCAGTGCGTTCTTCCTGGACCCGTCGCAACAAAAATGTCCAAAATCAAGTGAGAGTCGTTGCGTAGTCAAAGTCGCCTTAGCACGAAGGTCATTTCAACTGGCCGTAATATAATGCCCCGTGGTTTTTTCAGGAGAGCAACGTGGATGGCGCCTACTCCGGAGAAATTCGTCGAGGCGTCGTTAAAGACGGTCGGCATAGAGTCGCGTACGACCGGCTATCCACCTCACTCCTTGATCGTCGGATTCGTAAACGCTCTTCGTTACCTGTGCGAAACAGGCGCGGTATGGCTAGTCACAAAGACAATGCTTAACATAAGAGGTCGTGCTCTACGCCACAAGGCAAAGGTGAAGGCGAGGACTCAAGAGGACGCGTCGCAACGTGCCCGTCTTAGCACCGATTGATTCCGGAAAAGAAGAAACGCACGCGTATTGTATCTGCCCGCTATTGTGACGCAGTGCGTTATCTTCCCAGCAAATATCAACTAATAGTAACATAGCATCAATGTTTATTCACTCAATAATATAAATTCGATATAACGTGTGTTGTGTAACAGTAACATTGTTGAGTAGGAAATTATAACATTGATGCTACGTTACCGATGATTGGTGTTTACTGGGGTTGTTATTTGATTTTGAGCTTTTATTCGACGGTACCTTTTGGAGAAAAAAAATTCGATCAATTTTGTACGTTATGTATGTGTATATTGTAATGCAATTTATTGCGGTAAATAAAATTATTTTATGTAATTAATATTGATTAATATTATTGTAGCATGTACAGAATGTGTCCCAGGATTACCGTATGCAGAATACATCGGAAGATATTTCTTAAATAGGGCCTATTTGAATTTGTTGAATTAGCACGCTAGATTGCGTGTGAGTCAGAAGCGAAAGCACGAAATCTCATCAGTCATATGTAGATTGTTTTCTTCATAAAAGATTTGACTGCCCAATATGTATATTATATATATTATCTGAATTGATTACTATTTTGAATGTAGCTTGTTTGCATAAATAATGTGTATAAATGCTAGTCCATTGGCTTTCTTCAAAGTAATAAATATTTTTGAACCATTGAAACTACACGTCGTGTGAAAAATTTCTTGTGTGTTTAAGGCTCGACTATTTCTGGAAGCCATATTGATTATGTAACGTAACAAGTAAGAAATGATAATATAATATAGTAAATTAATTTAAATGACATAGTAAATTTCTTGCGACATGTAGCTTTATTTTTCGTTTCTCCTGAAAAACGTAATGGTTTCGCAATACGTGAGACCTTGAAGAATCTGAAATCCGAAAAACATAATTTCGTAATCTTAAAATAAAATATTTACATATCAGATAGAGATAGAGATTTACATCTCAGTTTATCGCATATTTTAATGATTTAAAGATCACGAAACTGTTTTTCAGGGAAAACTAAAAAATAAAGCCATTACATATTTTATGTCATATATAGTATGTCATATATATTTTTCTTGCCTTTGACGTCACACAAGCCATATGGCTGCCGGAGATAGCCGAGTCTTAACAATTTGAAATAACTCTAAATTTTAAAAATATAATTTGAACGGAATTTTGGTAAACGAAAAGTTGATTTGTTTGATACTAAAAATCCTCCGGTGTACATGCGATTACTCTGTATATACACACACACAAATGGATTACATGTCACCGTAAAACTGAGTGATCTTTAATTCTCACAGTCCTGAATCTCCAATATCCACGTCTAATTTCACGCTACAAGCAGTTACAAGTTTCTATTGATAAATCGAGATCGCAACGAGATCAACGATGGATCAAAAGGATCTTTGCGTTTAAATAATATAACTCAACGACAAGGGAAAAGGGCCTTTTCACTTTATGTATTTACCAATGAAGAGAAATTATTTATTTGCTAATAATTTATATTTCACAGGATCATGGATAAGAAGACGTTACAAGAAGTTTCAAGAAGCCCAAAGAAGTTCCATGTTTACAATTACAAAGAACTGTTGTTCGGTCAACATTATGAATCTGTGCGTGTATGTATGTGTGTATGTGTTTTGTATGCGCGCGCACACATATGTTTATATGTGTGTATGTTTTGTACGTAAGGATGCAGGAAAATATTCTAATATTTAAAAAACAACATATCTCTAATATTAAACAATACCCTAATACTGAAAATGATATATCGAAAATTTCTCTTTTGTACCACATCGACTTGTCCTATCGACTTTAGAAACCAAATTTAGAATAAAACATGATAAGCTTGTACTTGTACTTATACATACTTTGTGCTCTATTGGATTTACAGATAATTTACAATTAAAATATATCCGCGTTACAATTTCACTTTTGTTTACTCATAACAGCTCAGAACTTTCACTCTTTCCTCTCCGACTCCGAATACTACAAGTGTGGTCGGACTTTTTTTACATATATCTACATGGTAGCAAAAAGCATTAAAAGTCATAGATTATTTGATTCCTCAATGAACATGAAGTCAATTTTGTCCCTACTTAAAATTTGACAAGAGGGCCATCGCTTATTGCTTATTCCCTTCGATTTTCGATATAAATGTCCAATTTTGGCTTTCGATTTAAACTCAAATCCTAACGAAAATTTAAAGAATCTGTCTCTACTTGCGCTTACAAAGGCATTTCGACAATTCGCAAATTCAAAATAAAGAAAGTAAATATGACATTTGGCACGAAGAGTTCAGTCACACACTGTTTTCGTTACAGCTGAAAAACAGTTTTAACGAGTAAAACAACCCTCCGAGGATAAAATAATCTTAAAACGTTTTTTTTATATATAGTCAATAATGAGATTTAAAGAGATACCAAAGGAAAGTTAAATATTCATTTGATGATAACAGACATTTATGGGTAGACTACGAATTTTTAAGTGTTTTGTCGGTGCTGCAGGTAACTTATATATGCACGTTTTAACGTATATATTAACATAGATTTCGCGTTCGTAGACATTTCATGAAAGAAGAGTTTCCATGACTTGTTACATTTTTTCGTGACTATCTTAATATCATGTACATATAGATATGAGTTTATCCTACTTTTTTTACAATAAAGATCTACTATTAAAATGCTTATAATTCTTTGGATAAAACGTAATCTGTTTTTAAAATAACAAAAGGTAACGGCTTGTTAACAGATAAATTAACAGCAGGGCAAGTCGAATACGAGCTGAATAATTAGTAGATCATAGCAACATTTATGTTAGACTCGTATTAGACTTTTTTTCCATTAATTGAATAATTTATGTTCACAGATAAACTGAATTTGTTTTTTAAACAAGACAAGAATGCAATGGTAACAGTTGTGTAACATAATGATGGTAATGATGATGATGAAAATGATGATAATGACAATGGCGATAATGATGGCAATGATGATGTTCATAGTAATTTTGATGATGATGTTCGTGATAACGAGAATAAGGTGCGAAAGTTTATGAGATTTCACTGTGAAACTTCCCAGGTAATATCGACGTGCTCCTGCAAATTCCGTGCTTCTTATTTTCTATCTTACAGACAATTATCTCCTTATTTACGTTTCTCTCGTCCTCAATCGGAACGAGTCCTTAGCACGAAAATCCCCATCTGTGTCCACACGTGTCGCGTTAGAATTTATAGAATTTTCCAGTCGTCGTTTTCTCCCCCTGGAACTTTTTACCTAGTGATAACATTGGTTCGTCTTCCCTTTTATATTCTTTTCCTTCTCTTAGTTACACGAGAAAACAAAGTTCTACGTTCACAAGAATCGCTCCTATCTTACCATACGATAATTCGTATCTTTGATTTGCATTTCTTATTTTTTACTCTTGCATTCTGTTTCTTTACTTGTCTGGCAAGTTTCAAGATAATTAAGTAATAATACTGTATTGGTACTCGCGTTTACCCCCACCGTTGTATTTCTCTCCGTTTCTCTTCTTTTAACACTTAAGTGGATTTTGTATTTCTTTTTTTTTTATTTTGTGCCCTACGGGGTTCCACCCCAAAATAGAATAAACATTCATCTATCTATCTATCTATCTATCTATCTACCTCTATATCTATCTATCTATTAATATATCTATTTATCGTCGCTATGCGACACAAACAGACGATAATAATCTCCTTCCATCGTCGCGCGAAGATCATCAGTAGGAATCGACTTTCCACTTGCTGGCAACATGGTCGGAAGCTTTCAAATTGTTTCGGGAATTGTCCGGAAGTCTATGATAGATTAATGGATAAAGAATACAATCGGATCACCTTACCTCAAGCAGAATTGCATCTGACAATAATAAATATATGATAAACAATATATCGCCTTGTTATTGATATCTTAATACGTGAACATCTTTCCTGCGCTCTACCATTCGCGTCATTAGAGCAGTTAAACTGCTTTAACATCTCAGATTCGGAAAGTTCATCATGAATTCTAACAAACTTTCATTACCCAATGATGACAATAACGACAATCACGATGATGACGATGGCAATAGTAATGATTATGATATCGATTACAATGATAATGACGGTGATGATAATGTTCATGACAATAATGATGTTAATTACGACAATCACTATAGAGGATGTCCCAAAAGATTGGCAGTTTCTCTCGAACGCTGATGTCACATGAAGAGTAGAGAAGCTAAATATTCTGGAAGACTCGGGCTCTCGCCATACCGAATAAATGGAAAAATTCGCAGAAATTAGGGAGTTTCCCCTGCGCAATATCGTGTCAAATTTCACACACTGATTCTGAACATTTTCCATCTCGATTTTTCTTCAATACGATGCGAAAATCATTGATGCATCGACACTCGAACAATGATCTGTGAGAGGAGAAGCGCGATAATTCTGGGACACTCTGTATAGATAGTTTTAATACTTATGTATATAACATATAGATACTATATGTGTATTAATTTTATTTGCGCGCTTAAACATTGTCCTCTATTTTTTGTAATACTTAGTTCTCGTCGGAAGATCCGCTGGAACTTTCTGGCATAGTGCTGAACCAATTTTCACGAGCCCCGGTGATCCTACGTGAAAGGTAAACACACGAAATCGTTAAATATTACATAACAAACATTTGATGAATCTCTTTGGGAAATTATTCACGCGACTCTCGGTCTTCGTGCAAACGCATCGCACACAATGAGAGAGATGTTCTTTAACTAGTAATAAAAATATTCTCGTAAACATCGAAAAAGAATAAATGAGAAAGGGAAATATAAATTTTGTGTCGATTGAAAAGGGTGAAGAACACGAAGTGATAATATCACCTTGTACGTTGGCGTGTACTCGTCGGCAGTGTAAGTGAAGTTCTATAATACTGTGGCGTGGCACTTGATGCTGCGTCGTCCGGTCTTCTGTGCAATGTCATGGTTTCGTGAAGAGACGTAACTAGTTCGTCCTCATTATCTAAATAATAACGAGAACCCGTCGCACTCTTACAGTTCTCGCACTCACTCCGATAATCATCCGTGTCGTCGTGCAGAGTCGGCAATGCTTGCATACTGCAAGTACACGCTACCGACTCGAAACTGCCGCTCGCATTGATCTCGTTAGCTGCGCTCAGCGAAGGCTGCAACAAGACGGGACGCGATGAGCGAACGTTGTGTTGACGTATTGTAATACATTTATCCTCTACGAAACGACAATGAAACATATTATATACTCGTTTAATCACGACAGTGGATGAAAGAAGGGAAAAAGGAGAGCGAAAGCTGCGACTCTTCTTTGACTACTGTCGCGAAGGTTCAATTGTGTATCGCTCACCATAGCTGATTGATTACTTTTCTTTTTATATTTATATTTGCTTTTTTTGCATAATTTCCCCGCTTTACTTGTAGATTAGATTACTTTGAGCAAAAAAGTCTTTCACCATTTTGCAAATAACACGCATTTTTTACGTTATTAATGAAAGAAATCTCGATACATGGCCGTTTTCAATAACTAATAACTCCAAATTTTGGCTTACAAAGTGGTATAGAACTTTGATGTTCACCTCGATCCGTTCTATCGGGGGATACTTTATATACAGAAGGTCTATATTTGACAAATTTAACCGCAGTTCAGGAAAAAAAAAAACTACAGCAGCTTATTTTAGACGATAGCGAATTTTGTCGCGACTTGAGGAAAAGTAACAAGAGGTGACTCAAGATGCAAATGGCATCGAACGATCACGTAGTCTCACTTTGCGTACAGCCACCGATTGCGCATATTTGAGATGAAAAAGCTCGACGAGATTCCCGAAATACCTTGAACTCGCGACTCTTCTCGGACACATCCGCGGTGCGGGCTGTGTACGCGCAGTCCGAAGAAGACTGCGGCAGAGCGGACGCCGAGGCTGCCGGGGCGTCCGCGTAGAACACGTCCGAGTCTTTGGTATCCTTGTAACCAGCCGGGGCGGCCGCGGGCGACAGACTGTGCGACGCGATGCCGCCCGGCGATAAGTGGAGATAATCCTTGGCGGAACAATCGGTCGAGATGTCCTTCGCCCTGACGCGCTGGGTGGTGGTCAGCGTCCGCGGGATCGTACGATGGGAGGACGACGATGACACGTCGGAATTCGACAGAGTGGCCGATATCGTGAACGCGCCGCTTTGACGCGGGAAGGTCGTCGTGTGCTGACGGTAGCTCTTGGGTATGGTGGAGTGCGAAATGGGTTGCGCGGACACGTGACCGCCGGCGGAATGCTGAGCGTCGCTGAAACTTGTCGCGCCGATCGGCAGGTTCTCGTACATGTTCGTGCTGAAGCTCGTGGTGGAGGTGCTCGTGTTCAGACCGGTGGACGTGGTGCTGCTCTGGCTGACCGGTCGATAATTGGCGTACGTGCCCGGGCTGGAGAGCGGCCGGCTGGAGGACATCAAGGGCGCGCTCATGTGATTATCGTTGGACGACGGCTGCGTGTTGACGGTCAACTCGCTCGGGGTGTTCGCCACCACCGCTATGCCCGTGTGATTGTTGCCGCCCGGCATGTAGCTGTCGGAGAAGTTCATCGACAGCAGTGTGTGCGGATTCATCGACAGCAAGGCCTGTTCCGCCCTCGCGGCGGCGACCGCCTCCTCGTACGGCGGGGGCGCTTCCCCGCGCGGGAAGTAATTGCCCGGCGGCTTCCACAGGGAGTAGCCGGTGCCGCAGGGTATGTCGTCCATCGGCAGCCCGTGCAGCAGACCGCCTCTTTCCAAGTATCCCATGTTACCTAAGCTTCTTTGGTCCTCTCCGATTTGCCTGTTCTCCCGACCTGCCACACAAACTGATATACCACGTACTACGTTTTTATTGAGAAAGGACAGCTGAGATTCAAATTAATTCGAGGCGGAAACGTTCGACGACTCGCGGGGAATACAAGGTTTTCGTTTTTCTTCTCAGAGGGGACGCCGCTGTGTCCCTTACCTTGTATCTTGCGCTGACGCAGACGGTGTATCAGAAAAAATAACAGACTCATTGATAATATCGCTGTGACGAAACTGGCAACCGATCGTAAGCCCAAGTCATAATTTGCATTTCCATCCATTATGTTGGTTCCCGCGCCGTCCGGCTTGTCATTGGATATCGATGACAACGTGTCGTCCAGGCAGATGAACTCGCAGCAGGTATCGCCCCGACGAAAGGATTTGCAATCCTCCTGTCGCATATAGCAAGAAAATAGTTACCTTACGTAACTCGTGCGTGCATCTGACATTTTGGCTCGACAACAACGTAACATGCTGATCATTTACACCTTGTTGGAAAAATTCACACGTCGACTTGTCGATGACTGTAGTCGTAGAAATTCTCGGAGCAAAAAACTGAACAAACTTTTGCCCGATATATTTCATATAGCACAGAAACTTGCAGCAATGTTGTTCTGTGCCAGTTGCTTATATCAAACTTAAGGCACTAAGAGAGTTATCGCTGCATACCTCGAGGAACTTGCAGATGAAAGCTTTACACAACTTTGGATTGCCATTGTCGCAGATGCAGAAGGTGCAGGGCTCAGGTCCGGGTATGTAGTGGAAGCCACTTTCGTAGGAGCGCCCATGTTGATCTTTGCAAGCGACTCCGCCTTCTGCGTGCACTATAAATATAAAGCAGGTGTATCGTCATGATCGAGGACAAAAAAACACGCGGTTGTGTCGTAAGGAGGGAGGAGAGGGGAAAAAAAACTGAAAGTCCCCTGCGACGCATAATACTGGAGAACGTTCGTTTCGAGATGCTACGTATTGTTGAACAAACGTCGCGCGTGCCATCACATCTGTCCCTTTTAATTACGTAGCGGATTAAAACGGTGAGCAAGATTCCATCGCGACCCGCTGAATTAGCTGCTTTTCCATTTGGAATGTTGCACTTAATCGAAAGCAATTGTGAAATCGCGGCTTAATTGACAGACCAGCCAGAGACACTTGAAAACACGATTGCGTGCGCGAGATATACGCGCGGGCGGAAAAGCGACGGCTTACGAGGAGGCTCTTGCGCGCGCGTATGTGCACTTTTGCATGGCATATAGAACGTGCCCCATTTTTCTGACAGCCCTCGAGCGACCGACTTTGAGCAAACACGCGGGCGATACGCAATCGATGGCGTTACAAAAATACAAGGAGACCGAAGGTCTCCCTGACAGCGAAGAGGGAGGGGGGAGAGGACGGGGAGAGAATGTAACCGTATGTGGTATCGTTGGGCGCGCGATCACACGCAATGAACTCACCCTTGAGACGAGTGAGGGTGAACGTGAGCCACGCATAACCGAATAGGTTACCGCTGCTGTATCTCATTCTGCATCTGTTATCTCGTCATAGCGATCTGGGGCCTCTGTGTCGCGGTGGCGATCCTATTCCCCCGATCGGAGCTCCCCTCGTTGAGCTGTCAATTAAGCGACGGCGGTCACATCTCTCGGATATGCGTCCACCGGGAACATCCGTGGGAACGAACGCGTTCACGTCGAGCACTGACACACTGCGTTTGACGACTACATCTCCCCCGCGGGGATGTGCTGCGTAGCGCTAAAACGCGCGCGCTTATTATTCTCGGCCCGTCCGCCCAACCTCTCTTCCCCACTTTCCCTCGCGCGCGCAAAAACCACCGACGACGAACCGAGCGACCGATTCACGCACAGCGACTCCCGGAATGATCGATTAATAAACGGACGGGCTACTGTCGCCGCGACGCGAAATGCCAAGATGACGATGCGCCATCTTCGGCCCGGGAAGGAAAGTTCAGCCTTACCGACGTCCATTGGTGGACGGTGAAGCGAATACTGACCTTACCGATTTCTTCCAGCTCGTCTGTTTTACCGACGGTGAAGCGGTGAAACAAAAGATGGTTGTTCGTCGAGATTGCGACGAAAAATATCGAAAAATTTGACGAGTGACCTACTCGGATATGGATCGGAAATTTGATGAACGATTTTTCCAGACACGCGGAAGTAATCGATGAAATAATGTATCGCTCCGATACGTGAGTTATTCACAGGTAACACTTCCAAATTACTGTCTCCACTCAGCAACCAAGATGCATGTCGGATAAAATTCTTAGCAATTCTCAGCGAAGAAACGGACAGCCTGATACGTACAGCAACGCATCGCGATCGCATGTAAAGAAAACTAAACGTGGAAAATTTTTCATTCAAAGCCAGGAACATTGCATCTCTCATGTCTTACATATTCTGTCATGATGTTTTACGTTAGTTCAGAAAAATATCATGACGGCAAATAATGACGAGCTTTCAAAGGAAGCCCATGCCGTGGAAACAGAAGTCGCCAAAGGTGAACAAAACGAAGTGCTCGAAGAGCATCCACGGCTGGCAAAAGAAAAAGTCAAGGAAAAGCCTCGTCCGAAAGCAACGCCGGAAGTCGTGAAAGTACTGTAACTTGATTTTCAATTTCAATATTCATGTGTATGCAGCCATAAATCTAGAAATATTCTGTTGTCCTTCTCATCGTTTTGTTGTATTATCGCTCTTTTGCGTTATACACAAATGAGAGAAAAACTATATATTTACCATTATATTGATGGAAGTATTTCGTTGAAAGTATTATGAAATTGATGAAAAATGAATTATTGAAAAATTACTGCATATATATAAAAGAATCATAATTTTCTTGAAAATGAAATGCAATATAATATTGTAAAATATAAGAAAAGTTAAAATATATTGTTAGAAAGTATTTAAAGTAATTAACAAATTTGAAATATTAGATATAAAATTTACTGAATATAACTGAAACATGACTTTTCAAGGAAAAATTGCTGAAATATCGATTAAAGTAATTTTTTGTTGAAATATCGATGAAATGATAATGAAGTGGGGTCAATCAAAAAGGATTTTCAAATACGTTTCTATCATATTTTCAATAAAATATTTCCATCAAGGCATGAAGACTATTGAGCTTGTGTATTTATTTTACAAATATACAGCCTACCGTAGCGAAAATACCTGTAAAACGTATAACACCTCGACTCGAGGAGCTAGCTCGACCATTAATAAACAATGTCTTGGTTACATTGCGAGACAAAGCGTGGGTACTACCGCCGGCATTCGTGGATAATCTTACAAGGATCATCGAGACTAAAACCTGCATAAGTCCGGAGTAACTTATCACACAGTTGCTCTTTCGTTTTAACCCTTAATCCTATTTTTCTTCTCGCTTCCTGTATATATTTAGTAAATCTGAGCTGAAACAAACACATGTACATATAAGTCTTACGAATCTATCGACTTTTCATAGGGAAGCCGCGCGAGTTCTGCGTCGAAAGAAACGTAAAACGAAGAAGGCGACGCCACCGCTTATGAAAAAGAGGACCGAAGAAGTTACAAAGTTAGGCACGCCGATACTGGACGAAGAAGTGGCGATGTGCCAGTATTTGTTGGCCGTGAATTTCGTCAGAAGCATTCTGGAACGCCCGTGTCAAACGCGAAGGAAGGATCTTCGTGAAATCACACGCGTGATATTGAAACGCTTGACGTCTATCAACGGATATACGGATACTCGAGACGGCAATGATCGAGCGACGCAGCAGTTGCAGCTTCTAGCTGAAATGATAGCTTGTTGGATAGCTGAGATACTCGTTGAAGTTGCTGAAGCTGAAAAAGAGACCTTAGAGAGGTACTGCAAAAAGAGGGAGATGAAAGAAATGGAGGTGGATGATGATGAGGAGACGGATAGTGAAGCCGAGTATTGGCAACAAAAACATGAGATACGGGAAAAGAGCGAGAAAGAGGTAAAGGAAAGAGAAAAGGAAGAGAAGATTGAGGATGCGGAAGATGAAAAAGTTGAGCGAGAACAAATGAATGGAGAAGACATAAAGAAGCCAGATGAAGATGAAGAAGTGGTCGAAGGAGAAAAAGAAGAGGGTGAAACAACTGAAACATTGTTGGAAGAATAGAAGGAAATGAAAGAGATGAGATTGGGATGAAACATAATTGATCGGCCTCTTGACGAATAAATGATCAGTAAAATAACTGTTACCATTATATAATTTTCTTTCTCTGTAAATGCATACAACGCACGAATCGTAAAAAAATTCAATGTGAAGGTACAATAAACGTAGAATATCTCCTACGAAACATAAGATGCAAAATTGAATTAAAAAAAAAAAAGAATATCTGTAATTTCCTCGACTCTTGAAAAGTCAGAAGTCCGATAAAATTGAAAGTGCTCGGAAATTGTGTAATCATCTATACCGAGATGAAGAAGAAATCTGTTTTATCGGTACAATTTTTAAACGAAGTTTGCCAAATTGATATAAAAGCATATTTGTGCGACGAGCAAGACAGTTAATGGAATAGAATATCGTGCACAGGCTGTAATAGATGTTATATATTTTTTTCGAAATAAACATTGCAATAACAATTTAAATAAAATTAACCTAACCTATAATCGCAGTTTCTTGTTGCGCTGGTGTTGCTCTGGATACCGGCTCAATCAGATACACTGTCATTGAAGTGTTTACGCATTGTTGCGTACGCTCTCGCAACTTTCGATTTCGAAGACGTACGATGACTGCGTCATGTATCGATCAAACTAATCCTTTTCAGTATATAATGAAAGTGATACCCGTGGTTGCGTGTTTAGCGAGAGTAACGAGACAGCTTTACATTGCTATTTAGCAGTATTGCAAATAAGTGGCTGAACATCGTCGTAGATAAGAGGGACAATTATCGATTTGTATAGTGAGCACAGAGTAAATTGCAGGCCAAACATATGGTAATTAATACAATTTCATTTCAACGGATTTCTAATGAGTTTTTTAAATCATATACTTTTTATACTTTTTCATGTTATATATTTATATATAGTACATATTTAATCATATTACACAATTTACTTTCATTCTCTTGCAGGCGTCTACATCTAAAAAGCAAAACAGTGGTTTTATCCGCAAGAAGAACACAATCAAATATGAATTGACAGAAGAACAGAAATCTGACGTAAAAGAAGCCTTTGATTTATTCGACCCAGATGGTACCGGAAAGATCGCCACCAAGGAACTTAAAGTTGCCATTAGAGCATTGGGCATTGAACCATCCAAGGAGGAATTAAAGAAGCTTATAGTAGATGTTGATCCAGATGGTCTTGGTAAATTATCTTTTGAAGACTTCTTGGATATAATGACAGTGAAAATGTCAGAAAAAGATTCTAAGGAGGAAGTATTGAGAGCCTTTCGTCTCTTTGATGACGATGATACAGGAAAAATATCATTCAAAAATTTGAAGAGAGTAGCAACTGAGTTGGGAGAGACTTTAACTGATGAGGAAATACAAGAAATGATTGATGAGGCGGATAAAGATGGTGATGGAGAGATATCCCAGGAAGAATTTCTTAGAATCATGAGAAAAGCGTGTCTATATTAAATTATTGTACCATTGCGTATCATTTCTTAAATGTACATTCTGTTTTTGTATACCTAAGAAAAGACTGATGTGTGTGTTAGCAATTAATTTGCTATACTCGTCAAAAATATTTTCTCAAGAATTATTGTTTGTGCATATGTTCAGTAATGTGGTCACAAAACAAGAAATAGTTGCATAATTGAAATCTAAAGCTATATAAACTATTATATACATGTATATGTGTAAATTCTTTACAGATTATGTGAAACCCCAAATAGCTATTTAGAAATTTGAATTTAAATGGATATAGCAAAACAGTCAATAAGAAGCAGTTTATGAATTTTTATATCTATTTTTTCTGATTCTATGTATATTGCATGTTTATGTTAATTTGATTAACATTAAGTATATGTATAACTTTATATAAGTATATGTGTAACATTATGTATAACTTTCACAGTCTGCCGATGTACAACTTACTGTATCTGTTACTTTTCATTTTTACGTTATATTTTGAGGTAAAAAATAATACATATACTTAGTAATAAGATGAATTTTATTTTTAAGAATATATTCAGATATCTATTTCGACTTTTAATGTCGAAATAGCAGCATGGATCAATGATCGAACCAGGCTTGCTCTATTTTTCGCTATTTCTACTGCCTTGGAAAATAAATTTTGTGATATTGGAACCCCGCCTATATAAGATTTATATATTATTATTATTATTATTATTATTATTAATATATATATATATATATATACTACATGAAAAGTAAGAAATACATACCGAGTTTATGCACGTAACAAATTTCTTCTTCACTATCTATCACGATAGATAATCTTCCTAACGACAAACTTTCCTCCTCATCCGTAGGATCAGCGATTAACATTTGTCTGTAAACATCGAAGGATTAGTTGAGAAGATAAAATACATGAGAATATTTATCGATAATGAACTGATACTGACTTCTCAAACATTGCGAATGATGTTGAAACCGGCAGCGTTCTCATGACAAATGGTTTTCTCTTTTTAGGGTGCACAACGATAACTCCCGTTTCCGAATTATAGTTTACTACAGGTAGAGTTACTGCAAAGTAAATTTTTTCTCTTACAATGTAGCAGAAGAAAACAAATATCAGATGTTCTCGAGGCAATAATGTAACTTACATGTCTTAAGAGCCGCAGTCAATGCGCCTGTACAAGCATCTATGACTGAACCATTATAATTTAGACATAGTATGTCGCAATACAAAACCCATACCAATTTTCTTTTACAGATACAAAGATCCGTTAAATCAAGTGCAGTGGAATTTCTCAATATTATATCTATTAGTTTAGAAATCACCTGCGCTTGTTCACTTGGCGGACCTGGGCGAAACTTTGGAGAGCATAGCGGAGGTAATTCAACATTTGGTACTATATAGCCACATTCTGGAGTATCTATTTTTGGTGTTGTCAATTCCTGAAACAGAATGATTTCAGTACGTCACTGACTATCTTTTCAATAAGTCCAGAGAATTATATTTTTAATTATACAGTAGATAAAAAGATATTTATAACTATTACAAGTTAACTTAACAATATAAATATATGATGTAAAATATATTTACAGCTTTAATGCCACAGACCACAGTTGTATTACCCAACTTGAATATAGCTGAACCATCAGCCTGAACAATTGACGAAATATTAATACTTATTGGTCGAAAAGACAGAAATTTTCTACCGTCCGGTCGAATATCTTGCACCTACAAATATCAGATTTTTTCCCTTAAAAAATTGGTTGATATTACGTAAACTTTTTGTTCAGATATTGATATGTACAAAATGCTTACAGAATGATCTTGCAAGTATTTCACAGGATGGATCATCCTATAAGAATTAAATGAATAATGATATATATTTTCACAATAAATTAAGATTATGCAGATTATATATACAGGAAACATAACTGAGCAATTAATTACTCATGCTATACTGCTGGGCGATCATTATCATTTAACAAATTATGTCCTACATATTAAAGAACATTGTATGAGCACAGTTCTGTCGAAATCTATAAGAGAGTTTGTATTCTAAATATTTACCAAAATTGTGCATTGTTTTTAAATTTTTTACAGTTTCGTAAGTTCAATTTATAAATTTGCACAGATATATCCTTATATTTTTATTATAGAAAATGAATAAAAGCTACGATTTTTTTATTCATTTTCACAGAAAAATAACATGAAGTTTTCGTTTATCATATATTTTATAAATCTGCTGAGCAAATAAAATACACACTTGTATTGAATATCCATTTGTGTTATATTTGGCCGTATTTTGACATAAACAAACTCTATTTTTAAAGATGTAAACCGAGTGCTAATATTTTCACTGAATTTCGAATAAACTATAAAATCAGATTGAACAGATAAAAATTAGACATATGCTCCACATAAGCTGCGTTCCAAAACCCTACTCGACAGGTGAAGTAATATCATTTAACCAATCATT